ATCCATCCATCCATCCATCCATCCATCTATCTATCTATCTATCTATCTATCTCTATTTATCTATCTACCTACCAGATATTAATTTTTCGGTTTTCAAAGGAATCAGGTGAAAACAGAGGCTGCATGAAAGTGATCATCCCTGTTCAGATGTGTTTTCCCAAAAGAGAGCAGGTCTTCTTAATGAGCAAAAGAAAACATTCAAAGAGTGACACACATTACCCAAAACAAAACAGATTTTTTTTTGCTTCATTTATATGAGGAGACCAACTTAGTTCAAGGTAAATGCAAATGGAAGGAAGCTGCAACTAACTATATGTATTCTCTTGCTCAGGTCACAGACAACTGTACCCTTCTGAAGGAAAAATACGATTCATTTTCCACAAAGGTAAAACTGATGTTGTTATTCATTCTTTTCACAAAATGAAATGCTTCACTATCTTTTTCAGTTGATTATGTTGTAGGGGCCTGAGTATGGAATTAAAGAAGAGTTAATCACATTAATAACTTTCTATGGCTTTTCAACACTAATAATAAGGGAAAAGGTCACATTCAACTGACAATACAGTTTTGAACCAGTCTAACGAATGAACTGCAACTCGCTAAGGTCCATGCTTTTTCAAGTTCGCAGTGTAGTTTGCCAATTAAAAAAAAAACACCTATCAGAGAAAACTTGCAGAAAATTGGATGTATTACTTGGAATGAATCAAAGTACAAAATATATTGAAGAACATTAATTGCCAAGCCTAGCCATGCTTGTCAAAATTTTAAAGAAAAGAAAAGTATGTTTGGAAAAATGTATATCAAACGGAGATACATTTTATTATGAACATGGTTAGAACTGCTCAAAATGGTAGGGAATTGCCTGGTTGAATGTATCAGTGGAGAAAAAAAAAACCCAAAGAAATGAAAACATCTGCAGCTGACAGAATTGTACAAAGAGGTTAGTAAAAATAAAAATTGACACTTGTGTTTATCCTTTACTCATTGTGCATCATCCTATATTAATGTCAAGGCCGAAGGATCAGGACAATCCATTAAAATGCAGCATAGAATATTTATTCAAGCCTACACCAAAGAATCCAGCTAAAGTCCAGCATTACATTGGAGCTAGATAAGGGTCAATGGGGTTCAGAAGGAGATGGACTTGGACCATCTGTGAGAACGTAATGACTCTAAGCTGATGATCCACATAACTCCACCCACTCACCCCACCCCATTCTACCTGTTCTTATCCTACAATTAACAATATAACTGGTTTTGTCGAAGGTGAATGTAATTCCTTTTCCCCTGCTGTTGTTGGTGTGTGTGTGGAGGATTGGCAATATAACTTCTTATTGTTTTGAGGCAGAAAGGGGCACAAGCCTTGGGGACTGCCCTTGTGATCCACACTTTTCAGGGTTTGCCACATGCCACTTACCTTCAGATCAGAGGTGGTATTCTATCGGTTCGGACCCGTTTGACCGAACCTGTAGTGGAAATCGCAGGTGGCCCCACCCACACCCGGCTCTATGGCATCCCATTTAGGCCATTTTTTCACCAAAAGCGCATGCACGGAAAGTGGCATGCGCACACTCACATTTGCAAACTGGTAGGAAAGGTAAGGCTATACCACCCCTGCTTCAGGTGGTGTTTCATTCTGTTGGCATACCCACAGCCAACCTGAGACTTATTTGGGTCGCATTACAGCTTCATTCATAAAGTGGCTTCAAAGAATGCTCTTCCACAGCCTTTGCAACCTACAAAATCCATGAGAAATCCCGCCCTCACCTGATTTTCAGAGGCTCCAAATGACCTACAAGAGCATAGTCCTCTTGCATGACCTCCAAGGTCCCCCCAAAATCACATGAGAATGGAGCATGCTTTCGAGAATTGTTGTTGGATGTGGGTGAACATTGGCATGTCACCCAAAACATCATGGTGTTTCACCTTTGACACATGTGTCATAAGTTTGCTATCACTGTGGTAGCCTATGGATATATTGCTATACTGTTTCCCTCATTCACCTACCTACTGCACTTTTCCAGAAAGTTTAGTTGACCTTCTAAGGTTGTCTGCCTTTGCATTAGATCAGTGGGTCTCAACCTTCCTAATGCCGCGACCCTTTAATACAGTTCTTCATGTTGTGGTGACCCCCAACCATAAAATTATTTTATGTTTTCCGTATTTTTTCAAAAATATGTGTTTTCTGATGGTCTTAGGCGACTCTTGTGNGTAAGCAGCTGAGCTTCTAAATGCTCCATTTTCACTGCTGTGCAAAAGTGCTTTAGGCTCACCGAACCAGTTGTTAAATTGGAAGCATCCCACCACTGTGGCGCATACAAAAGTAAAACTCATTTAATGACATCTAATAACAATAGCTATAATAAATCTCTATAGAGCGGCAACGATGGCCAATTTCATGGGCCTCATCAATGCCCTAAACCTGGGAAAATGGACACATTTAAAGAGTTTTCAAAAATGCCAGCTGTGTCAAGGCCAGCTAGATTTTGGATGGTGGTGGAGAGTTCCAGAGAGGAGTAGTAGAGTTGTGTAATTTTGGAAATGGTACTATTATTATTTCAAACTTTTGTATTAAATTAAGGATAGATACTCCCTTGAAATTGTTTGACTCTCCTATAAAGACTCTGCTTCTGTCATGGAAGGTGGGAAACTTTTTTTAAAATATAATTTTAGAGTGGGGATTATACCAATTAACAGGAGGATCTTGCCTTGCTACCAAAGCAAGTAGTCATTAGGATTACAAGCAATGGTGGGATTCAGCCGGTTTGCACCACTTTGGGAGAACCAGTTGTTAACTTTCTGAGCAGTTTGATGAACTGGTTGTTGGAAGAAATCATTAGGGCAGAGAACCGGTTGTTAAATTATTTGAATCCCACCACTGATTACAAGCTATTACCTGGATCATGGCCAATCTGTTTGTAAGGTGCAATTTCAGGAGAACAATGGTAGGGACAGACAATTATCCTTGGTGGTCATTGAGAACCAGATAAGGCTAGAACAGAACAATCCTTAATCTGACAAATTTGTGTTTTTCTCTTGCTGTGATAAAGAAATAAGTTTGCAAATAAATCTGGGTTTCTTTCCCCTCACAGAATTGTACGTGAATACATTAAAAAGTTCAAACTTCATTTAAACTCCTTCAATCAGACTGATGGGAATGGCTGGTATTTAATTCGAAATGTCAGGGAAAAAATGTCACCCCACAATCCTGAAAACTTTGGATACCAACTTAACCCCAATGAGGAGGGAAAGTCTGCAAGCCAGCTGTTTGAGGAGACGCTGAACAAGGTAGTTTTAAGGAGTAGACGGGATGTACAAATCTAATGTACTTGTATACTTATGGTTTGTATTGTGAGAGTGGTAGAATAATATTAGGGATGGGAAAGGGTGGGGAAAGCTGCTATAATGCTTACTGAAATAATGTGCATAATGCATTTTATGTCACATACAAAATATTATATTAAATGACATGAAATATTTTAAAAGTACACATTAAATAACAGAGTCACACAATTCAGTCTAGTTTTAATAATTTTAATAATCTTAAGGATTTTAATAGTTTTATCTTATGGTTATCTATCTATCATCTATCTATCTATCTATCTATCTATCTATCATCTATCTATCTATCTATCTATCTATCTATCTAT